TATGAATAGATGAAGTTGTTATAGTCCTTTCACAAATTATGCCTTATTATTTGTTCTAGGAAACTTCCTGTTGGACTGAAGGTTTTTTGTAGTTATAAAATATCTAGGCTAAAAGTACAGGATGCACAAGGAAAGCTTTATAATTCTGTTGGAAAAGAACTAAATAGCAACTCAAACGTGCATTAAGGACTTGAGCCTCATTCTTTTGAAATCAATAGGCGTATTGTATCCAACTTTTATGGAAGCAGGACATATATGAATCCAGTAATCCACGAGTTCACTCTCTTGTTGGCTCACTATTTAGGCAGAAGCAAAATGATTGTAGGTCATATTTGCATATTTCAATGGAAACTATATAGGGGTAAAAGGAAATCTACTTTCACTGAAAAAAGGACAGTATGTGCAACTATGCATTTACTAACATTAATCAATATGCACAGAAAAGAGGGAAAGGCAAAGTGATAAAAAATTCAGCTCAGCAATTAAAGATTTTCCTTCTCTTCAGAATCAGCACAAACAGTCAATGATCATCGTTTTTATTTGCTTTACAAGTTATTACTTTAAAAACCTTCCTTTAGAACCTATTATGAAAATCCTTTAATGATTTTCTTGTAGAGCAAGACTAAGAAAGTGAATGTATTGAGAGGAAAGAAGCATCAGTGTTTTCCAGCACTGTGCATAAGGGCAGGATAAGGCTATCTGTAGTTTGTGCTGAAATGTGAGATCAGAGCTCACATAGGAAACACTGCTGGCTTGACCCTGAATACAGGGAAAGTGCTAAAGTGCTGACCCCAACAGGCTTAGCTCTGCACCTGATATCTTAAAAAAAGAAGTAGAAATAAAAAAATCTTTTATAATAACACAGACTGCTCCTTGCGGAGGACAGACTTTTCTTCTACCTCCTTTCCAATTGGATTGCTGCTTTTATCCCAACAGAGAATAACTGACTTCAGACACAGAACATGCAGGGCAGATCTATAGTAAACACAGAAGCCATGAAGGATTTTTTTAGCAAGCTACTGGAAGACTCCCTGCTATAATTTAGGAATTCCCTACTACTGTAGAGTCATCGTGTTAGCTCTACACCATCTTACATCTGGTTGCAAGTACATTAAACATTGCTGAGGACAATGAACATGGTTTGGCAAGATGATTCCTAGATGCTGGAGGAATTCCCTTAAGGGCTGGAAGTGCACAAAGCTTAGAGCAGCCCGAGAATGTGGAGTGATATGTAAGTGTGCTGTTAAACCATGTTTGTACCCTTATTTCCTCCTGAGTTACAACAAGTGCAGAGTGCTGGGTTTGATTCAATGACAGCAAGAAGGAACTGTGCTAGCTTCTGTTAACGCTAAGTAGACAACTTTCATTTTCCTTTAGCAATGCGAAGTCAGATCCACTCCAAAAAGTCATGTACAAAGACCTGCTCAATAGGACTGTCTACTCTGCTCTGTTGACAGGAAAAGCTGCACCATCCATTTTATTTTTCCTTTTTGTTTGCAATAGCCCTTCCCTTTCTGCTCATGCATTGAGTGTTTTTAATGTAAACGTGTCCTGGCAATATTATGTTTAAATATGTAAGAGATATATTAGAATATCTCAATAGTATTTGTATTGCATATTTAATTCAAAGCTTGCATGTGCTTTTAAAAGTTGCTCTTCAAACCTGTATGCCTTTTATTGGAAAGAACTGTGTTGCAGTTGGATTGCATGTCATTATCTAGTACTGACTAAATATTGACATATTACAGCTGCTTATTTTTCAGCTATTTGGGATGGATCCCCAGCCAGTGTAAATTGGCTCACATTTAAGGCAACAGAGTGAAGCTGATTTATACCAGCTGAGGCTGTGTCCCCGTGTCCCCATTATGAGCTCAAACTATCCTAAAGTTAGTAAAGAACAGGGAAAGAATTATGAACCCAGTCAACATCTTTTCTATTTTGAACAAAAAAAAATACAGTGAACCAATTTCAAGACTATGTCAAAGACTGAATTGCAATTTAAAGTGTATATAAACATCTCATAGCTAGTTTTAGACTAAGAGGTAGATGTCATCCTGTAGGAATAGTGTAGTGTGGAATGATGCTAATGTTGACTGCTACATACATCTATTTGCCTGTTTGTGTCCTACTCATAGGACACAAATGAAAGTTATAGCAATGGCAGCCACAAAAAGGCTTACAATATTCCTGTTAAACACACTCCTCCTCTTCTTTTGCTATTCTATCTTATCTTTCAGTGCATTCCTTCTGGAAAGGTATGATGGAAAAGTAGTAAGAAGTAAAAAGGTCAGTAATACAAAACCTTCACTTTTACAAAAAGTTAACTTTATCATTAAAGGCATCCTCTGTACTTTGATGGAAGCATTTCGTACTTACAATTTAAGATTACCTGGCATTATTTTGCAAGCAGTGGTAATTCCAAGTGAGGTGATTCAGCAAAATAGGGGTCAGGAGAACGCAGTTCTCCCGCTTTCTCTGTTGTTCATACTAAAAACATCGGGGCATATAACAGTGTATTTCAGCATCTTAACATACTAGGCTCCCTTGAGGACAGAGAAAAAAGGAAACTTGTGCTGTTGAGCCAGAAATAGATTTCTGAACGGTGTTGCCAGACGCACAGAATGCTGGCAGCAAAGTCATTAGCAGAGCCAGTGCCTTACTTTGCCTAAAGGTGTTTCCGCGATATTTAATGGGCCCCGAAGAGAGGGAAAGCAAAGCTAGGAAGAATGAGGTGCGACATAACCATTTTTATGAATCAGTTATCATTGCAAGTAGAGGAATTACACATATTGCATTAGGATACCCACTGCATGTAAATGTACTTTCCACTTATTCCTTGCGACTGCCAGGGGTCATCCTCCTTCTCGAAAAAAATCAAAATGCATATTATAATTACATGTTTTCCAATATCCGTAGACAGCAAGTACAAGATACTTACATGTAAGTACACTGTATTTACCTATATTTTTGCATAGTTTTTAGTGTGTACTTTGTGCCACTTAATAAAAAGCATTACTCATATATTTTTTTTTTTGTTTTTCTCTATTAGAAGCTTATTCAATTCGAGTTGAAGCAGCTGGATTTTTGGTACGTTCATCACAGATTACCAGTTCCTAGGAGCGTAGAGATTGGACACTTGGAGGAGTCTGGATAAGTGGTGGGGAAAGCTGCAGTGTGAACATGAAATTTTACATCACCTTCTTAATCAAGAAATGGAATATCAGATTTACGGTGCTAATTTCATAAACTTACCTTTAATTTGAATGGAATTGTAAAGGTAAGACCTCCATTATCCTTTTGGTAACACTTTACAATAAGTGGCACTAAATTACACTATAACTGCTATGTTACAGGGAAGTACATGTAACTACACTGTAACTGTCGTAATAGCTACTGTACATATGTGTACATGTTAACTTCAGTGCTGTTACAATCATGAATTACATAATTACAGATGATTCTGTCCTTTCTTTTCATTGAAATAGTTTTATATATATATATATATATATATATGTAATACGATAATGAAAATACACAAGATGTTAACTTTCATATCTGTCTTAGAAAAGTTGGTTTTCTTCATGTATTCCCTTATAGAGGGAGTCTCAGTGCAAGGCGAACCATCCTTAAGTAACGTGAAAACTTTTTAAAGCATTCTAGCTTAAATTCTGTGCCTCAAGTTAAACATCAGGTTCCTTAAACTGTTTCTTGGTTTGTCTGATGACACTGAAAGAGTGGGAGGATGTACCTTGTCTTCTGATGCACCATTTTCTTATTTAGATCATGAGAATGTTCTTGAAGCATAAAAAAATCATTCTACATCTAAAAGTTTAAAAATAATCAGCAATTGACACTGTAAACAGTAAACTGGCAGAAATTATCTACCTTGTCTTGAGAAAACTACTCTGCATGTGCATGTGAGAGAGGATGTCACACACGCTTTAACTAACACAGTTCCCATTCAGAGCCTCCATTTTACACATTTGCTGGGTATCTTGAAATGGTAATGAACTCCGTATTCAGAACAGGATCTTGGGTAAAGGAAACAGACAACTGTTTTTGGCCTAATGAGTATCATTAGCTGAGTCATGGTTCTGCTTACAAAAAAAGACGGATGCCTTTTTACCCCTAGTGTAGTAATCTAAACCTATGAAGACTAGGTAGGCCTGTAAAGTGCAACCCAGTTAGAATTTGCCATTTGCAACTGCTTGTTTTGGTGTTTTTACACCTACTTTGCACAGATGTGAGTGCCATCACAAGGTGCAAGATAACTAAGATCAACTATGTTAAAAATGAGCACACGTGAAAAGTTCTAGTTTAACTGAAACCAATAAAATAATCTAGTTAAACAGACCAATTTGTATCCGCTTTTGCAAGTTTCAGTGCTGTTCTTATGCCACAGAAGAAAATAGTTTGAAATGCTTAACCTTAAGGGTGATCCTGCTTTTGAAGGTCCTACTTGACATTGTTGGGCAATGGTTCAAGTAGCAACCGTACTATGCAAGCAAGCTGAGGTTAGGAAGAATGAAAAAAAGGCCCCAAAATGCACTGGTGAGGAGTTCCAGTTGAGCAAATAAGGTCCTGGTCCAGGGAAGCACTTATTTTTAAGCATATGAATAGTGCCTTACTGTTCAACGGAACGTCTCCCATGCCTGAAGCTAAGCCTGTGCTCAAATGCTTAGTTGAATTGAGCCTCGGGGCCTCAAATAAAACTTTGCAGTATCCAGTATTGTACTGTAGTTAATGCAACTTGCTGTTTTGACAAGAACCTATATTTTTGGTACTAAACTGAATGATTTCTTTTGCCAGTCTTTTTATAAGTGTACATTTCTGAAAGATATGAATATCTTGTAAACCTATACTAGTTTTCAATGTGTCTAGTAGCACCTACCTGGTTCTCTCAAACTACCATACTATATTAACATATTATTGCATTTTTCCACAGATGAGTATGGAGTGAACTGTAAAAACAAGCATGCAACCACATCAATGCAGACTTATTTCTTTAAAATGTCGTACTGTATATGATTTATTATGTTAACACTCAACCACATCATATTATTTATGTCTGTATATTTTGAAAAAAAGTGCTGCTTTGATTGACGTCACCCTTTTTTCTTAGAAATTAACATGATAAATGTTTCAACAAAAACAATTAAAATACTCTAATATTGTCCTTAAAAGGTTTATACTCTTCTGATAAATAATCTGACACAGCACCTTTATCTTCCATTTTGCCATAGTACATGATGTCATATTCCAAACTCTCCCTTCCCCACACAAAAATAAAATCCCAGGAGAAAGTCCTTTATAATAGGCCATCATGCTTTTAGGCTTCACATGTATAGCAACCAGAGAGAAATACTCTTTTGTCAAAGGTGCAAAACTTAGGAGGAGGCAAACTCCAACCAGACTAATTTGCATCCTCCAGTGTAGAATCATTACCAAGAGCTGATATGGTAACTTTTTTATTTCATTGGAAGAGGAAGTAAGCCAATGGGCTTACAGTGTTTTGTTGTGTTTTGTTAAGAGCATGTGATTTTTTCAGCTGTCAATTACACAAAAAAATTCAGAAATAATCCAAACAGACTTTCACTGTGGAGCTAAAAGCATGGCAGGAATTCTCTATCGTTCACGGTGACATAAGTTTGTACCTCACAAAATGCATAGACAGGAATTTAATATAAAGAATTAGTCCATTTACTGTATACACAAAACATATATTTTTTTTGTTTTAACACTTCTATTTTTTTCTCTTTTTTTTTTTTTCCTTTTTTTTTGGCAAACCAACATAGAGAAGCAGCTCTGGAACTGCCAAATTAAAAACTGAGAATTTTAGCAACTTAAAAATATTTTTTAAGGATAGTAATCAAATGTGGTTGTAATTTAAAACCTGAGGCTGTGCACTGGTTGTTAGCTTAAAACTACCTTCCATAGAACATTGTGCTTCCATTGTATAACAAAGAAAAAATTAACAAGAACTAGAAAAGTTTGCTGCTGAACAGTGCTAGGACATACAGACAAAAAAAATACTAATACATGTTATCTACTCAGAATATTGATTTGAGTCATATCTAAAGGGATATAATGGACATTAGAAAATGCTCACTTGTGGTTGACTTAGCTACTGCCCCAAAAGTTAAATATGTATCAAATAATGTTTAATTGAATTTATTATATGCACTATATACAGATACTAAAACGCCTTGCAGTTGTGCCCCATGAACACTTCAAATTTGAGTAGACAGGTGAGTCCATGTGAAGCAAATAAATTATAAAAACAGAAATTACTCAAAAAGACTTCTAATCTTTGCAATCCCAAAAAAGCAATAAAGGGTAGGACAAATTTATTTCAAATGAAGCACTACTATCTAACTTTGCAGAATCCGTATAGCTATTCAGTATGATGTTTTTACCACTGAAACATGGCACTGTTGTCAAGGTACCATTTAAAACATAACAAAACAAAGCAAAGAAAATAAAAAAATCCTGGACTGATACTTCTTTTCTAAAACATCCAAGCATACAAGAAACTATACTAAAAAGCTTTCAGTCTGTGTTTCCTAGGGCGTATGTCTCAAAAACAAGATGCTTTTTGAATTATAGACATGTATAAAACATTCTTTGTAAACCTCTAATCTTAGATTTATCTTTTTATGTAAGTAAATTAGGTCCTTATCTAATAGTATTTCTTACGAATACTCTATGACATACTGATAGGGAGCATGATAAAAGAAAACTGGAAAGGAAAAAAGCTGCATAACACTTAAAAATGTAGAAAATTTGGATGACGATGATGATTAATATCATTAAGGCTGTATATTCAAGCACTGTATGTTAAGAGAGCAGTGGATATGAATTTAGGCAATAAGAAATGTCCTGCTTCATGTATAATACTGTAATTATAGAATGATATTGTCAACAGCTGATTGTTGGCATAAACTGGCTACTTATAGCAGGTATGCAAGTTAATAAAGATAGATAGCAGAAGATGGCAGAAATGAATTCTGAAAAATGGTAGCCAGTTTTCTCCAGCAGTCAGCCTGATAAGTAAAACTCCAAGATTCTAGCTCTGCATCTAAATGAAATACTCCTTTTTCTCCTCTGCATTGACTTGGCTGCCTTCTGCATTGATAATGGCTGTGTCGGCATCAGGTGCATCTTCAGCTCCTTTCGCTTCATTTGTTAAATATGTTCCTATAGGAAGCAGTACAACAGGAAAAAAAATTAGTTTTTTTGGCTTTACATTGTATTCTATAAAGTGTATTTCCAACAGTGCTCTAAGTGCTTCATAAATGGAGTAACATATAACTTTTAAAAGCTTTAGTATGAATGATATTGATATACACAACTTTCTAATTTGGTTTAGAAATATTTATGGTATTATAATGGATAATGCACATTATCACATCACACAGATTCACACATATCCATGATAAACTAAGGAAATATGAGAAAAATCCACTCTATCTAAATGCTGCAACATGCAACTATAGAGTAAGTGACAAAGTTTTGGATATTTCATGGTATGAGCTAACCATAAAAACAAACCAACCTCAAAGTTTTAGATTTTCGCTAAATGTATATTTTTAAAAAAAGACCCCTAACTATTTTTGTATTTCTACTTTTCATTATCTTATCCATACTTTAATTTCACAGAATCGTATCATAGTCATTTCCAAGAATTACAAGATAGAGGGAGCTTCATTAACTGAACCCATTCATGATACACTATCACAGACACTTTTTATACTAAGTTATGTAAGTTCAGGATATAAATAAGAAGAACTGTGTACAACAGCTGATTTTTACGTTGTGACACGCATTAGTTGTGTTGGCACAAGATGCACATGTTATCATTCAGGAAGAAAGGCAAAGCAAAAGAGATACATTTTCATTGGTTCATTACAAAATTATTTTCTTCTTCGTATAGTCCTACTCAAATTAAAAAGATACGTTTATCAGCTTCTGTCTGCTAGCCACAAGATTATCCTATTGAAAATGAGATTTGATGAGTTAAAAGCAACACTAATCTTCCCTTCACTTTTTTGGGGGTGGGGGTGGGGAATCAACCAAGATTTAACAACTGGTCTACAAGTCATTCAGAGGTTAAATCTCAGGAATTAATTTTGGCATCTACTAGGTCAAAATAGGATCATGCAGAGGCTTATTCAGTCAGTGTCACTCCACTTGTTATCTCTAACAGTGGAGAGAATTCAAAATGAAGGGAGCAGAATTCTTAAGGTGAAACCTCTGAATAAGGATAAAACTTGACCCATGAATTAAATCCTTATTCCACTGGAATCATTAGTAAAAGTGACACTAATTTGCAAACCCACCATCAGTAGTTAGTATTATCTTTTAGATACATATTGAACGTATTAGCACAATTTATGACAATGAAATCTCTTCTTTACTCATTTGTTTATTCAATTCTGCTGACTTGATATATTAGTCAAAATTATGAGGTCATGTAATGAAGTGATTAAATAGAGCGCCAAGGGCTGGAACCCTTTCAGTCTTTCTAAATCATTGACACATTAGATGACCATGGGCATGTAACTAGATGTCCTTTGCCTTAGCCAGTCCACTGTAAAACTGGCAAAAAAGCAGGGACTTCACTCACAACGAGACTGTGAACCGAGCTGTGCTGTCCAAATTATTTAGCAGATGAGGAAAGGTGAAAGGGAAATGCACTCTCACATGAAATTATGCTTGGCTTCCAAAGGAGAGTGAACTTGTACTAAATCTATCCTACCTTTATGTCTTGCCAGGTATCGACCAAGCAGAATTATAGAACATAGTGTTACAAAGACAACTACAGCCACTATTCCTCCTATAACAGCGTGATCAGGTACGGTCTTTCCAGCCAAACCGTTAGGATCTAGAAGGAAAAACAAAAAACAAAAGTGGTCCTACACAGATAAAAATCGACAAGAAAATTCACAATACCAAGTTTTATACTGATCATCCTGAAAATAGGGCATTTTCCTCTTTAATATTCAGCATGGCTATTCCCACTTTTGCTACCAGTATCTTATCAACAACATAGCACTGCTTGTATTCCCAGATTGTTAAAGCCCTGAGGACATCACAGTTATGAAAAATATTACCTTATTCTTCCTTGGCAGAGGTTATTAAATGGGAAAGGTTTCTGGTTTTGTCCTCGTCATTTTATTACTGAAAACCTGGCCATAGCTATTTATAGAAGCAAAAACAAGGAACTGAGAACTGGGGATCAGATAGCATCAGCAGAACAGTGTCTGTATAATACATAATTTATAGAACCGATTCTCAGTAGGGAACTGTTATACATTCTCTTCCTCTCTTTCCTATCCTATTGCACCAGAAATAAAAAGGCAGATAAAGTGCAGCCTTGCCAAGTTCCTCTGCAGATGGCTGAGTCTGCATGAATTTGGTCAGATAAATGTATTAGGCAACCTAAAAGATGATCATTCAGTCTCAAGTGTTAGTTTGTGAATTTACCACCGATACTCAATTAACCCAAAGTGTAATAGATAAAGCGATGTTTTACTTGTTGTCATTTTACTAACTCTGTGCTGAGCCTTAGGACTACTGTCAGATTTAAGCTTTCTGTGCTGGTCATTTGTCTTTTCTGTTGTCTGGTGCTTTATAAAAGTTCCCAAGAGGCAATCATGGGAAATGACACTACTTAGGGCTGAGTAATTCCTTGGAGCTTTTCAACAATGAAACAGCCACCACTGCCTCTTGACTCATCTGAAATATGCAAAAGGAAAAAAACAATCTAAGGATCGTGGTAAGATTTCTGTTTTTTGATGAAAATGCCTCCGCGACAAAGTAACAGTAATTCTCTCAAGATGCTATTAGCATGTTCTCTATGTAGCAATCAGTCTACACATACTGCTTCAAGGGCATTTCCCTTGTAGGAGTTGTTTATATTCTACAAATAGCCCGCAAATAATTTATTTGCTTTGCAAGGAGAAAAACAGGAAAAATATTTACACAGAAAAGAGGTAAGTCCATAAAGATGATTAAAAGGCTTCTGATAATGGCTAGGAAGTGTGATCCCATGATTACCCTCTTCTGTGCTGGCCAGATCACTGTATACTGTTTAGGTAAGTTATACAGATCTATCTACATACACAAATAAATATATATAGATTAAATAGAATCAATTATAGAAGCATTATATAGATTAAATAAAAGAATATTGTTTTCCCCATCCTTTTGCAAACTGTTAAGCATGCAGAAACTAGATTTCCAGATTTGCTGGAGCATGGAGCCATATGGCCCACTGTTACAGATAGAGGTCTGCTCTTAACAGCAACTGAATCCACAAGGCATGGCTTCTTCACTCATTGCTGGCTTTCAGAGCTCCCAGATGTGTCTCTTCTGGCTGCTGAAAGGATGCTGGGGAAATTGGCCACAGCACTTCCATGGACATGAGGGCAAACGGTAGTTAGCAGCCTCAAAACAGCTTGAAACACCTTATAAAGGCAGCTGTGCCTGCCTCCTCCTCTGTCTCCCGAACCTCCTGGCACGGTGTCACCATCAGCGGCACTACGCTGCGGATGGAGAGTCAGTCCATGAGGGTATCGGCTCCCTTTTTGTCATAAAAATGACCCCAAGCTCTGTGTGCCGGCAGCTTTGTAGGGAAAAGAAAGAAGGCTGAAACCTTATCCCCCTAAAGCAGCATGGAGCCTGCAGCCATCCTTCCCCCAGTCTTGCGGAGGCTCTGGTTTCCAAAGGGAGTAGCAGCGAGGTGACCGCTCACTTGAGAAAATGGAAGGTGACAGCTGCGGTAGGATTTATGAAAGGTTTCTCAGCCTGCTTGAGGCATCTAGCAAATTCCTCCTTCTGTGGTGCCTGTGACAAAGTTGCTATAAACCCGCTCCCCGCAGCAAAAAGGCAGCACCAATTTGGGCCCTAAAGCAGCAAGGTCCCCAGGGCTGCGTGACCTGCAGGAGATGCTCTGCCCCAATACCGAGCCAGGAGCAGCACAAACACGTTTTCTCACTAAGAAGTAATTCCTGTTAAAATACCGGAAGTGAAATAAAAAAATGAAAGGGGATATTATAAGGGTCAATATCCTTCTTCATGGGGAGTATAATCCAGAGGCTAACTTCTAAGGGTTAGCAGAGCTCTTTATCAAGAGGCATTTTTTTGGAAAGCTGCTTGCAGTGTACATCTGTAGCTCAATACCCAGATTTACACATATCTCCTCTGTGAGCTTTAATAAACATTACAGAAAAAAATCCTCACAATACACTGAGATGATTATGTCTCTGTTTTTATCCTCAGGAGCTTCCCTATACATAGCTCCTTACTCCTCCTCTGAGATACGCTACTCAATGGACTACCCAAAGTGACCTAAACACATATTTTCCACTAACTAGTGTGGAATAATTAGATTTTACTGTTTCTATAGGTTGAAATTCTTGACTATAAGATTAATTTTAGCCATTCATCAAATGCAAAAATGATATTGTATTGATGGTAAAACCTCTTAACCTTGATATCAAAGCACGATTATATTTATAATTGTTAATAGGCAAATTCGTTCAAGAATAAACTTGTGTATGATCTATTCCCACTATATCACCACCAAACTATTTATCTGTTAAGAAGAGAGAAAGGAAGAGAAGGAAGGGAAGGAAGTAAAGATCCTCAAAAGCGGCCAACATTTTCTTGGGAAACATGCATCCTTTCATCTCAAAAACACAATCTGCATAACATAAATAGTATTGTGAATGGAAGTTCTCATTCTTCTCATACAAAAGTAAGGCTGACATTAAATATAAATAAGCTCTACATTATACATACAGAGTAACGCACTGCACTTTTGCCATTTGTGAAATGACCTGAGCCCCAGAAGTGAATTACAGATCTGGGGCTGCCTATCCTCTTGTAAGTAATTACTGTATCAAAGTGTGTCTCAACAGCACCTGAAGGATAGAAATAAAGGTTTTGATGACCATAACATTTTGCATTTTAAGTATCTATAGAGTGGACATATATATTTATTCAAGTGTTCTCAGCATCTGTATTACCAATTCCCATTGCAGCTGATAAAACTGCTAAGTGTATATTTGGCTAAATGACCCACAATTTGCTTTCCAAATAATGTAATATTATTCAGATTATTTTTAGATTCCCATTATAAGCTTCAGGAGATTTCCCAGGTAAATCTTATCCACATACACATACATGTAGTGAATGAAATTTTAATTATTCAGTTGTGCCATAAGCACTTACAGACCAGCTGTTTCCAGAAGGATTTTAATTAGTCTGTTCCCTTTTTAAATACAGATTGTTTTTTAGTGCATGAGCACAGGCAGCTACAGTAGTCATGGTCTGAGACACTGAAATTCAAATTTTGTAATCAGATCTTCAAACACGAGTTCCCTTTGTTTGTTTTATTTTACTCTTTGATGGGACTAAGGAAACCTTATGGCAAGATAATGACACAAAAGCTCAAAATTCTTTTTTTCTGTGTGTTTTTGTCCTAAATATAGGAAGTCTCTTTGGAATACTGATTGCTGATGCTGTGAAGCTGCATCTATTTTCAGCTTGTGGGATTTGTCCCCATTACTCTTTGTTCACATACTTACAGAGATAACATGCATAAAATGATTAAGAGAAGAAAATCAGATCATTCATTAAGAAGTGAAATATATCAAACAAACCTTAGATCTATTAAATAAGTACATATGTACATTTGTCACCTGATGAGAAACTTTCAGAATGCAGAATATTTTTATAGGAATTCACATACTAATTGAGCAGAGAAATTTCTAAACATTTTCCATTTGTTTGGATAAAGTATATGTTAATTATTCATCTAGTTTCTTAATTTTTTTCTGCATAACTTTCTTTCTTATTCAAGTATAGCTGACTTCACTGAGCAGGCTGTGTGAAAGGGTCAGATAACCCAAAAATTGAGCAATGGTAGAATAAGCACATTTGTGAACGCTGAAATGGTGGCATATTTTAGGGAATATAGTCAAGTAGTCCTCTCTTCATACAGGCTGAAATTGCAAAACTTTCTTAATGCATATTTTTGGCTCAAGTACTGAAGTAAAAATGCTTTAAAAATGTCATTTTGAGTATGAGACGTATCCAGTTTTGAGGAATCCAAAGTAATTTGCTTTGAGCATTTTTACTAGAAGAAAAAAATTGAAATAAAGGTCCTAATTTGCAAACAGGTTTAAACAACACACATAAAATAGGTGAAGCAGAATTATTGTTCATAAATGACAGTTTTTTAAGGCTGTGAAAAGAACAGGGATGTCTCATCTCTCAGACAAGTGCTGAAACCACCAGCTGAGAGTTACTTTTGTTGACTCCAGGAATAATCCATTACTTCAGCAAAGTGGAACCGTTTCAGCAAGGGATCCTGGGGAATGGCTCCATGTTACAATCCCTGTGGCAGCAAAACCTCTTCAAGGGACTCCTGCCTTTTTCCCCATTTTCAGAGGCTTGCTACCACCCCCCAGTGCAGTTTGCGCCAGGTTGGTAGTTTTGCTAAGGCAACTGTTGGAAGAGCCTGGTTCAAAACAAGATCACTAATGTAATGTGTATTTGCAAGTAGGGGAACCCAAATAGCACAAAAAAACCCCCAAAAGTTGCTCTATCATATTTGAGGAGCTGTTAAACTTTTGCTGACATGGACAGGGCAAGAATGAGTGGACTAAGTCAGTGGAGATTTCTGGGGAAAATCTAGCAAGGAATTACAAATCATAAAACATCTGAACCTGCATTATATTAAAGTGCCTTAGCCACAGGACTTATAAAATACACAAATAAAATAAAGTAAGCAAGTAAAGGACAGGGATGCCACCTGCCACCTGGGTTTTGTGAAGTTCAGTAGGGAGTATAATGTTAAATTAGAAGTATTCCCCA